CTCGTCAATCTTTCAAAGCGACGTTGACGAAGCGCTCCAGCGTGTCCAAATTTCGAAAAGTAACACCAGTTATAATTTACTAAATTTACCACTAACAGGTTTTACCAAAAACTAACGGGTTGTATTTTTGATAGGTGTTCTAGAAGAATTCAAGTACCAATTTGAGAAAGCTCGCTCCAAGCCTGGTATGAAGGCAGACTCTCCCCCCTGGACCTTCAACTCTTCAGCGATCTTCAACCGACTTGACCTATTTCTGAAGCGGCTTGCAGACATCGAATGGTTGTTCCGAACGGTTTTGGAATTCTCAAAGCTCGAAAAAATTGAAATTGGCGGAATACTAGGACGATCGTTAAGCTTGCGAATAGTCGCTGTGGTTAAGGAATTTCAGTCACTGTTTGCATCCTTCTCGGCACGAGCTAGCGACGTACTTGAGCCTGACGATGAATCCTTCGCAGTGGACTGTGCCAAATTCAGCGAATCAATCATGGACCTAGACAGCAAATTGGCAGCGATTCTTTGCCAAGCTTTTGACGACTGCAGCAATTTGGAAAGTGCTTTCAAGGTTTAGTATCACTTTTTTTTTCGTTACCATACCAGCGTTATCATTTATTCTCGAAATATGTAACACAGTATAACGAAATATAAGTAACCCGTTGGCTTCGCTACAAACTAATCCAATTTATTACATCAGTATTCTGCTATCTTTATTTACGTTTGCTCTGTAGTTTCCCGTGAAAAAATTTTCTAATATGGCCTGATATGTCTATATGTGCTGAGAGATAATTTTTAGACGAAAGATAGTCTTGAAAATTTCCGGCAGATGGCGCATGAACGCAGAATCGTCTCCTTACAAGAGAGTTAAGTCTAGGCATTGTTAAAGACAAAAAAAAAATCGAACTATTTTTTTTTTTAATTTGTTTGGATATAAATTAATTTTTTCTTTTTACTAATTTTGGTAATTTTAATACAAAAGTTATTATGAAATTTGATTAAATTTTATAGTTTTTTAATTATAAATTTTTTTTTAAATTATACTTTTGCTTAGATTAAAATTCTCGGAACTATTTTTTCAAAGTATAAAATATACAATAAATATACTAATTATTTCCTTAATTAAAAAAAAAAAAACAAAGCTTTAATCAAGGACTATGATGATTATGTTGTTTGATTGATTTTGAACGAAGTAAAATTTTTTCACGGGTTAATTTAATGTTTTCAGCTGATCAATATAGCGGGGACGGTTCTAAACCGACCAGTGATCCGCAAGCAGTTCACGGATCGGTACTCAAGAATATACGAGCTACTTAATAATGAGCTGACAATGGTAGAAGTGCTGTTCAATCGCGGAGTTCGCGGTGCATTTGCCGATTTGCCGCCTCTTGCTGCGGCATTGCAGTTCACGAGTATGCTCAGACAGCGAATAAATCTTCCAATGCAGTCATTCAAAACTCTTCAGCCATGGTGAGTACTTGCTAAGATTTACGAAGGCATCCTTCTTATTTGAGGGATAACCGGGGCAAGCCCATTAATCACCCGGTTGATTGCAGTATTGTTGAGAGCAAGGAGGGACAGGAAATTAGTAAGAGGTATGAAAGATTGATTAATTTGCTCACCGATAATGATACCGAGCTCATTCAAGACTGGACCGACCTGGTACCCGATATTGTTAAGAAAGGGCTACAGTATACTTTGTTAACACGTGATCGGGTTTCTATTCTTCTGAAGGTTAATTTTGATGCCGATTTATTGGCTGCTTTAGTTGAGGTTAATTACTTGAAAAAAAATTCTCTGGCGGAAATTCCTGAGATTGCGCTCAAAGTATGTTTTTTTATTTTTTAATTACTTCCGTGAAAAAATTTTCTAATATTCTAATATTAAAAAAAATTTTTTCTAGGTAGCTGAAAAATCAGAAATATTCCGTAAATTTCTAAACCACTTAAGCACAACCGTAACAGCCTACAACGACATCCGACGTACTTCCCGTCAAATAGAATACAATTTAATCGAATTAGAGGTCGCAAGAATAGACTCGATGATAGCACGGGGGGAAAAAGAGCTTTGTTGGGATTCGGACAATCTTGCGGACTACATAAATGAACTGGGAACTCTGGTCCAGAGCCTCTGGAAGCGTTTGAAGGCAATCCAGTTGAACATTGATAAGATACACGACATTTTAGAGCCCTGGACCAGAACCCCTCTAATTGAGCGCAAAGAGCATCGTAAAGATACGCTTCTCGCATTAGATGAGAGGGCTGACAACGTAGCCAAGCGATATGCCGACATACAGAAGGCTTCTGAGCAGATTCACAAGCTGCTCGAAGAAAACAAAGCGCTTTTCGAGATCTCATCAGAGGTCGACGTAGCCTGGGAGGAGTACGTTGAATATGTAGATGATATTGTCATCGAGTCGTTGAGGAAGATCGTTGGCTGTTGTTTAAGTTATCTCTCGGAGAATATGGATCCGGTGGGTCAGAAAGAACCACTGTTGGAGGCAAAGTTGGAACTGAGAGAGCCTGACTTGTACTATGAACCTTCGCTCGATCCTGATGATCCTGATAGTCTTGAGCAGTTGATTATTAGTTTATTGAGCGATATCATGAACATGGCGACTCTGGTTCCGAGGCTGAAGAAAAATGCTTCTACATATAGGGATGATATTGAGATTGATGTGGACATTAAGGCGATGAAGAATGAAATTATGACGGGGGTCAATAAGGCCATTGATGAGGCTACTGAGTTTTGTGGCATATTTGAAGGTAGAAATATATATATTTTTTTAATAATTTATAGATTAACATTGGAAGTAGAAAAAAAGTTTAATTCGAAATTCGGCGGTTAAAGTTTTTTGTTAGAAATTTATTTGGATTTTTTCTTAATTTTTAATAGTTCAAAAAATATATCCGTATTGGAGAAAAATTTTTGAGTATTTGACAATATGGTGTACCCTTGTAACTCTTTAATAATTTACATGATAGTCAATATTCGAGTAAGAAGATAATGTTTTATGGGGAGTTATAGCTAAAAGTCTCCTCTATGTCATTAAATCATTACTAGCATCCTTGCAGTCACTATGTGACTGTCGTGACTCGTGAACTATAAATAAATAAAATTTTGCTTTATTAAATAGTCAGTTTTGTTAAATTGCACTTTACTTTTTTAACTAATATTGACGTTTTTTAAGATATAAGCTCATCCTGGTGTTACACTCATCAAGAGCTTTCATTTGAGTACCCACAAGCATTTTGATATATTTTTCATATATACATATATATATATATAAATATATAAAATATATGAAAAATTGATGTGGGTACTTCAATGAAAGGTCTTGATGAGTGTAACATCAGGATGAGCTTATATCTTTGAGAATTTCAATAGTTCACAAGATACAAGGTCATTTCTGAATTATGTATCTAGAGATATATATATATAAATTAGAGATTAAAAGTTGTGATCTTTTAAATACAGTCCGAAATTTAGTCATAAGTTTTAATTTAACCCTCTAGTCTATAAAAAATTTGTATCTTCTATTTAGTATTTCTAGATATACATAAAATTACCAAAGCAATTAACTAAGCCTTCTTATAACAATTGAACAGGATACGCCTATCTATGGTTAGAAGACCGAGAAACTGTAATGCACCAATTCCTGGAGTACGGCCGTCAATTGACCATAGAAGAAATGGAAATGATAGCGATGCTGGATCCGAAAGCACCCCCTAAAGCAACCCCTCGGATGGATCAATTCCGTGAGCAGATTGACTTGTACGAGGGACTATATCTCGAGATCGAGGAGATGAAACCATCGCGTATTTTCTGCGGGTGGTTTAGAGTAAACCTCCGACCCTTCAAGCAATCCTTGCTCAATACCGTATGCAAATGGTCCAGTATGTTTAAGAAACACTTAGTCGAACGAGTCACTACCAGTTTATCTGATCTCGGGAACTTTATTCGGTTCGTAAAAATCTCCGTTACTCATTATCATCGTCATAAACATCAGCATCATACGTCTACTTATATTTCCCTTTCTTTATTTGAATTTATTGATCCTTTTGTCTATCAACTGGCTCATTTGAATTTTTATCGACAGCTTGGCTGACGAGAGTCTACTCCAGCAAATCCAACCAGGGGACTACGCCGGGCTGATCAGTGTCATGGGTTACTTGATGCGAATAAAAGAACGTCAGCCCATTACGGATGACATGTTCCAACCTCTGCAGGAGACTATCGAGCTCCTCAAGTTCTACGACCAGGACATCCCCGAAGAAGTTAATGTTTTTCTTCAGGAACTCCCCGAACAGTGGGCTAACACCAAAAAATTAGCTTTGATCGTCAAGCAACAGGTGGCCCCACTGCAAGCCGGTGAGTTCAAGGCCTAATAATTTAAACTAATAACTCTTGGTCACTATTCCATCATCTATAGACACCATATTCATTTAATTATACAGCTAATTTGGGGTAAAACTGATTTTTGATATCATAAATAGGAGAAGTATCTCGGATTCGCGGAAGAATATCTGCCTTTGACACGACAATCTGCCATTATCGGGAAGCGTTTCGTCGATACGCATTCTTCAGATACGACTGCGAAAACGCGTACGGATTGCTGGACGAAGCCGATCGGGAGCTCTGCATGCTCGAAAGGCAGATGAAAGACATCCAAGATTCGGCCTCGCTGTTCGAAGTTTCTGTTCCGGAATTCAAGCAATTAAAGCAATGCAGACGCGAACTTCGGATGCTGAAGCAACTGTGGGATTATGTCTTCATAGTTCGCAGTAGCATAGAGGGCTGGAAAACTACCCCCTGGAGGAAAATCGATGTTGAGAACATGGACATTGAGTGCAAAAAGTTCGCTAAAGAAATTCGAGGTAAGACTTTTTTAGTTATTTATAATCTCGTTTATTAAATGAAAGTACATGTTTACAAAGATGTAATTGATACCAGGAAAATAGTTAAAAGTAATGGAACCCTGCAGGGATACCAATTACTGTAACCCGAACTTGAGAACTTACAGTAGGTACTTTCTTCAAGACGGTAATTAGCTGTAGAAATTTTTCTACAAGTTATTGTTCTACAGTAACGACAACGACATTTTTTAAAAGTAATAGCACTTTAGTTGATGATGTAAGAGCAAAATCTAATTAGTTGTCGGGGAAAATGATATCACCACGTTTAATATTAGGACAGTCTTCAACTTTCACACATTTTCCATTGGAATTTCTGAGGTATCCTTCAATGCAATAACAGCCTGATCCTCCAAACTTAAAAAATGAAAATATTATATTAATATTCTCAATTTTTAATATTTTTAATTATAATCGATATTATTGTACTTACTCTTACTCTTGAACAGATAACTAAACGAGGATGGGAACAAGTTGGCTCACAACTAGGATTATTTTTAACTAAATGTTCAATCGGGCCACATTCATTTTCGCTGTATTTGTCAGAGGGATTTACTTCTACAACGAGAAAAATTTAATAAAAGTTGAATTTAAGAGAAAATTCTAATTAGTCGTCGGGGAAAATGATATTACCACGGGAAGGTTTAGGACAGTCTTCAACTTTCACACAATTTCCACTGGAATTTCTGAGGTATCCTGAAACGTAATGGCAGCTTGGTCCTCCGAACTTAAAAAATAGAAATACTATATTAATATTCCGAATTTTTAATATCTTCAATTATAATCGATATTATTGTACTTACTCTTGTACAGATAATTGGAAGTCGATGATTGGAACAAGTTGGCTCACAACTAGCATTATTGTCAACTAAATGTTCCTTTGGGCCACACCCATTTTTGTCAAATTGGCCAGAGGAACTTGCTTCTACCCCTAGAAAAATTTAATAAAAATTGAATATAGGATTCCTTTTTTCTCAAAGTTAATTTTTTTATCAGTGTATATAACCAGATTACTCTATATTTATTTATTTATTTATTTTATTAGTTCAATGAACCCTACAGCAAAGCCATTAATCGGGTTCCATATTACATAGAATTTAATACATTATTTTAATTAAAAAAATTAATATTAATATTTATATAAGTCACTATAGTATTAATTAGTAAGAGTAAATATTATGCTCCAGTTTGTACAATGTTTGCCATACAAAGTTTTGTAAAACATTTAGAACTACTTATTTTATGAACATCCAAACTATTATCTATCTTGTAAAAAGTATTGAAGGCACTTATCAATCGGTAAATGGGGGCAGATGTAGTAAAGTTGGTACCAGCAAGTGGAAGCTGGAAGGAAGTACTATCCCTCCAGGTCGGGGCTCTAAAAGTAACAGAGCCTGCCAGACGTTCACAATCTATCTTCCCCTGAATCAGCCGCGTCAAGAAGATGGCGCATGCACAGAGTCTACGATCTTTTAATGTAGTCATATGGAATCTACTACAAAGCTCTTTCCTGTCCATGCCTGGTTTAGGATAAACACGATCCATTTTCCAGGACATGAACTTGAGAAATTTATGTTGAACTTTATCAATTTTGTTACTATATACTTCATAGGTTGGAGACCATACTACTGCGGCATATTAAAGACGCGACCTAACCAGGGAAAAATAAATAGATTTAATAGCTTTATCAGTTAATAGATTGCGGCTTGATCTGGTTACAAAGCCTAAAATTTTCCATGATGCTGTAACAACTTTGCTAATGTGCGGCTGAAAGTTCAATTTATTATCGAATACAACACCCAGGTCACATTGGGTAGACACCCTAGTAACCCGAGTGTTGTCAATTATATAATCAAATATTATCGGTGATTTATTCCTATAATAAGATATTATCTTACACTATATTATGCCTGATATGGCCATATAAAAAGAGCTTTTAAAAATTATCCTAATCAGAAAATTTTTTTCGGGATAACTAAACAATAGAAAAATTACCCTGATTAAAAATACTCATTGAAAATTATTTCAATTCTTTTCAATCCATATGGAGATTTTGAAAAATATTAAATGAAATTGAAACTTCTATCATTTGAATTTCTTCTAATTCTTATAATGGAATTCAAAAGTATCGAATGGGATTAAATTTTTTATCGTTTGAATTCTTTCAAATTCTGACGTAGAATTCAAAAGTATTGAACGGGATTCATTCTTGTATCTCTTGAATACTTTTCAATTCTAAAATACAATTTAAAAGTATTTAATATAACTGAAACTTTTGTTATCTATACCCGAGAAAAAATATTTATATATAAATTGGTTATACACGATTATATATGAAAAATGGCCAAATATAATTATACCAAAGTATACTTACAAGTGAAGCAAATCACGGCAGCAATCAACAAAATACTGATTTTACACACCATATGGTGTATATTTTCATTTGTTATAATTCTACAGGTAAAATTTCGGTCTTATATACCACGATTCCCATTGTTAAATTCAACATGATTTGTTTTTTTTTTTTTACATTATACAATAGATCAACGTCGACATATGCAAACAAGGATTCTACTGTATATAGAGAGTAATCACAATAAATTTAACGACACTTGTAATAACATGTTGTTTGGTACGGCAATAGCCGTATTAATAAATTACATACTATTTGTGTTTATCTATACCTTAATGCAATGAATAACAAATATTTCATTTACGGCCATCAATTGCTCAATTTAAATATGAACGCATTTATTGGAATACGTTAAACATCAGTCGACATTTTTTTCCGAAATCCTTGACGTAAAATCACATTAATTTTATTATTTACTTTACTTGTAAAATTTGATATGCTAATAATTTTTTTTAATTGATAGCGTCACGGGTATTTAAGAAATGAGTTATTGGTCGTAAATAATGAGAATTGTGACGCAATAAACTGTAAGCCTAAAAATGAAAAATGACCGAATTCCTTCTGGATTCATTTCAGTTTCGCTGGATAAAGAAATGAGGCCGTGGGACGCTTACGTAAAGCTGGAAGCTACGGTAAAAAATATGCTGACTTCATTGCGGGCAGTAGGGGAGCTTCAAAATCCGGCAATTCGCGAGAGACATTGGCGACAATTGATGAACAGTACCAAGGTACGCTTAATTTGATGAAATTGATCAGATTTATTGATTTACAATTAGAAAATTCTAATTGTTACAATTAAAATTAATTATAATCTAAGCTTTCAGTCCTTTCAGAAGCTATAATTATAGCAATAATCATAATCCAAATCCAATCAATATTTAACAATAATATTAGTTTATAGTTTCGCACATAAATTTGCTGTACATACGCTATCGATGTTACAGAGATTGGGTGACATGACTCCAGAAATGACCGTAAGTCCACTGTACATAAACGCACGGTACGATTATTTATAATTAAATATTTAATTTTATATGATGATTTTTACACTTTTATACTATATATTTGTAAATAAAGATTTATATACCACGATTTAGCACACATAGTTGTACCAAAATCATAATTCGCTAGTCATAAGTCACAATTAATTATTTATCAAGTCATAATTCATAACCATGATCATTGTTCATTATTCATTGTAAACTTATGCAATAAAGTACATTGACAAAAGCTTAAGCTTAATTATTTCACATCATTTATTCCTGCACCAATCTTGCTAAAAATAATTTTCGTTTTGCCGAACCTAGGCTAAAACAAGCACTAAGATCAGTTTGTTCTTTAGGTACGATTCGTGATGGACGATTCGACAACCCTGGCAGATTTGCTCGAACTGAACCTTCACGAGTGTGAGGAAGAGGTCAAGAATATTGTTGACAAAGCTGTCAAGGAAATGTCCATGGAGAAGTACCTGCGCGAGTTAAATGCCACATGGTCGATGATGGAGTTCGAGCGAGAAGTTCACCAACGGACGGGAGCTGTTCTTTTGAGAGCTAGTGAAGAGTTGATAGAAACGCTCGAGGAGAACCAGGTTATTGATGACCTGAAAATTTTTTAACATAGCTTGTAATAGTGTGACGCGTTTTGGGCCCAAAAAAATTCATCTCCGACAAATTATCCCTTCGACAATTCAAACCCTGACAGTAGATTCGCGACAATTTATCCCAGTGACAAATCAGACTATTGATTATTGGGCCCAGGATGAATTATATTTTCTTAAAGACTTTATTTCTTATTGCCAAAATTTATTCGGTATTATTTTCTTATACAAAAATTTATTTAAATATTTATAGCTTATGCAGTGGCCTATTTTTGGATAAACATACAAAAAAACCATGATAAAACGGGACAATACAACACGATAACAAGTTTATTTTTTGGTCTAATGTCGAATAAACACACACAAAAACCATAATAAAAGGGCACAACACAGTTTCTTATAAACAAAAACCGAATTTAATGTATAAAGGACAAATTTTCGGTGACACGACAAAATTTTCCCGGAAAAAATCTCCCCGACAAAATCTAATTTTAAATAATTTTAAATAATAATATTATTATTCCTGACAGTTGTGATGGTATTTTTCGTGTAAATATACACAAAAAATCATGATAAAAGCGCACAACGAGATTTTGAAGCGTTTTTTGTCGGGGAGATTTTGTCCGGGGAGATTTCGTGGTGGAACCCAAATTTTCGGGTATTAATAAATAATGTATCGGTTGTCCTGCAGTTTAATGCTGCAATGTCCGGGATAAATCGTCTTGGGCCCAAAACTCAGTAAACCGCTGGTAATCTCCTTTTAGAATTCTTCGAAAGTCCTGTTATGGTCTGTTATCAAAATTTACCATATTAGGCCATTCTAGAGACTTTTTTTTTCTGAGGATTAGTCATTAGTATTGATAATATCCGTTTTAAAAATAACTTGGGTCAATGTATTAGGTACAATTGCAAAACCTGATAACTTCCAAGTTCATCGCGCATTTTTTGGAAGAAGTGTCAGCGTGGCAAAAAAAGCTGAGTATTGCTGACCAGGTGACTACAGTCTGGTTTGAGGTTCAGCGAACCTGGATGCACTTGGAAAGCATCTTTTTATCTTCTGAAGATATCAGGAAACAATTACCAGTTGATGCTGATAGATTTGACAGGATAGACGCTGAATTCAAAAAGATGACGGAAGATATGGCCAAAACACCAAATGTTGTCCAAGCTACTAATCGCAATGGCTTGGCTGCTGCACTGGATATCCTTCAACGAGAACTAGTCCTTTGTGAAAAAGCATTGGCTGAGTATTTGGAAACCAAGAGGCTTGCATTTCCAAGATTTTACTTCATTTCTTCTACTGATTTGCTGGACATCCTTTCCAACGGAAACCAACCGGAGATTGTCGCTAAGCATCTTACTAAACTGTTTGATTCAATGGCACGGCTCAAGTTTGATGACAACAATGACAAAGTTAAGCGTGCTGTTGGTAAGGCAATTTTAGTTTTGATTCAATAATAGATTAATTGATTGATTCATCTTTTAAGGGATGCATGCGAAGGATGGCGAGTATGTAGCCTTTACTAACTGTGAAATGTCTTGCGACGGGGCTGTTGAGGTCTGGTTGAATCGGCTTCAACATGCAATGCGAGCTTCAACTCGGCATTACTTCAGCGAAGCTGTGGTGAGCTACGAGGAAAAGCCCCGTGAGCAATGGCTGTTCGATTATCCAGCCCAGGTGTCTCTCTGTGGGACGCAAATCTGGTGGACCACTGAGGTCAATTTGGCGTTTTCGCGCCTTGAGGAAGGCTATGACAATGCGTTGAAAGATTATCTCAAAAAGCAGATTCTGCAATTGAGTACTCTGATCACTCTTTTGCTGGGTGAATTAAGCAAGCAGGACCGTCAAAAGGTGATGACCATTTGTACGATTGATGTCCATTCGAGAGACGTTGTTGGGAAGCTGGTTCAGGCCAAGGTTGAGACAGCCCAAGCATTTCAATGGCAAAGCCAACTTCGACATCGCTGGGATGACAAGGAGAAGGATTGCTTTGCCAATATTTGCGATGCTCAGTTTAAGTACTCTCATGAATACTTAGGCAACACTCCAAGGTAGAGATTTTTTCCTTTATATCTGAGAACAATCTAGTTATACTGATGATTGTTTGATCTTTACAGGTTGGTGATAACTCCTTTGACGGATAGATGTTACATTACATTAACCCAGTCGTTGCATTTAATAATGGGCGGAGGACCAGCGGGACCAGCTGGAACTGGAAAAACAGAGACTACAAAAGACCTGGGTCGTGCCTTAGGCATCATGGTCTACGTCTTTAATTGTTCTGAGCAAATGGACTACAAATCGTGTGGAAATATCTACAAAGGTCTTGCCCAGACTGGTGCTTGGGGATGCTTCGACGAGTTCAATCGTATTTCTGTTGAAGTGCTGTCTGTAGTTGCAGTCCAAGTCAAAAGCGTCCAAGACGCAATTCGTGACAAGAAGAAGACCTTCAACTTCATGGGTGACATAATTGGCCTAGAACCCACAGTAGGGATTTTCATTACCATGAATCCAGGTTATGCTGGTCGCACAGAATTACCGGAGAATCTTAAGGCGTTGTTCAGACCTTGTGCTATGGTAGTGCCTGACTTCGAGCTGATTTGCGAGATCATGTTGGTAGCAGAAGGCTTCCAGGAAGCTAGAGTACTAGCTCGGAAATTTATAACACTTTACACACTTTGTAAGGAATTGTTGTCGAAGCAAGATCACTATGATTGGGGACTCAGGGCCATCAAATCGGTGCTAGTTGTTGCGGGAAGTCTGAAACGTGGTGATCCAGGAAGACCTGAAGAAGAAGTTTTGATGCGAGCTTTGAGGGACTTCAACATTCCCAAGGTAGTCACGGATGATTTGCCAGTTTTCATGGGTCTCATTGCCGATTTGTTCCCTGCGCTGGATGTTCCTCGAAAGAGAGACGTTGAGTTTGAAAAAACAGTCAAGCAAGCAGCAGCTGACTTACTTCTCCAGCCTGAAGATGGGTTTATCTTGAAGGTAGTCCAATTGGAAGAGCTATTAGAAGTTCGGCATTCGGTTTTTATCGTCGGGACTGCTGGTTGTGGTAAGACCCAAGTGTGGAGAACGCTTTTCCGCACTTACCAAAACATTAAGCGCAAGCCTATGTACAATGACTTGAACCCCAAGGCAGTGACTAACGATGAACTTTTTGGAATCATCAACCCCGCGACTCGCGAATGGAAGGACGGGCTTTTTTCTGTGATCATGAGAGAACAGGCTAACTTGGGAGGCGAAAATCCTAAATGGATCATTCTAGATGGTGACATTGACCCCATGTGGATCGAATCTCTGAACACGGTGATGGACGACAACAAAATTCTGACTCTCGCTAGCAATGAAAGAATAGCTCTAACTCCAGCTATGAGGCTGCTTTTTGAAATCTCCAATCTGAGGACAGCGACGCCTGCTACCGTTTCACGAGCTGGAATCCTGTATATAAACTCCCAGGATCTTGGATGGAATCCTTAT